ATATTTCCTTCTGTCCATGCTAGGCACGGAATCCGATACGTTGGCTTAGCATGGTCAGTTTGAATTTGTGTGTTCTGAATGGTAGTTACAGAATGCTGTGTCTAACTTGGCATGCCTGTACTCCTGTACCCCTGGTCAGAAGGTTGCTGGCACGTTCCATCGCCCAGCCCCGCCTTCTGCACAGGAGCTCCAGGATGCCGTGCCTGTACTCCTATGGTCAGAAGGCTGTTGACATGTCCCCCCACCCCACTCAGTCTTCTGCTTGGGAGCTACAGAACACCAAGCCTGTACTCCCATGATATGACTGCTGAGGACCTGCTCCCACCCAGTCCTGAAAAGTTGAGTAACAGTGGCTTGGAAATGTGACGTCGGCAGAATCTGGACCTCCATCCCCAATCTCTCAGAGTCTGGGATGCAGATCCCTGAGCGGTCATGTGAACACTTGTAAACACATTTTTTTTAAAAGGTATCTATATATTTTTTTTGTTTCTTAATAAAATGTTTGCCTTAGATTCGTGTTCTACATGATGCAAACATTTTAGGATAGACAGGGTTCACATCCAATTTAAGGGATACATGATCATTATTAATTATGAGACAATGGGGTTATACTGCCACCTTTAGGAGGAATTGGACGCTGACACACAAAAAAAATGGGCTCGTCAAGTATTATTCCTACTGCTCCAAGAATACTTCAGTTTTGTAGAAAAGCAGTACCTAGGAGTAGATCACAAACACAGAGGGCTGTCCCTTAATGAACTACAACAAGCCGTTCTACGGTAAGTACAAAAATCCTGTTGTCTTTATAGTTAATTAAGGGACACAGAATCAGTAGTTATTTTAACCCTGAGTAGGGTCACTGCAGACGGCCTCAGAACTGTTAGTGGATCATGAACTAGAGAGGCCCTCAGCAGTGGGAAAGCTTCTCTTGTGACTGGGATTCAATATACTGTTCTGCTAACAGTAGTACTGATTGGAGAACACTATCAGGGTTGTTCACTAAAGGGTGAAGAGTTTGGAGAAGGCAGGAGAAGTGAACAATCTAGGACAACAAAGCTGAACTGGAAAGTGAGCTAAATTGGAGAATGTTTCCAAATCAGATATTTTGGCCTAGATTGTTCACTTCTTCTGCCTTCTCCAAACCTTTCAACCTTTTGTGAATAACCCTGTAGGTTAAGAAACCTTTGGTACTCACAACCACCAATTTCAAATAGAGCAGGAAGAGTTAATGGCCGGAGGTGAACAAAACAATGTAGACGGTAACAAGGACTATGTGAGGTGAAAACCAACTTATCACGGAAAAACAAGGGAGGGAAGTGCCACTTAACACTGAACCAAAAGAGGCGAGAACTGAGTATGGATGGTGCACACGCTACTGGAGATAGTGGTAGAGCAAAAAAATATATAATAATAACCATTTCACAGTAAAAAAAAATACAGAGCTTCTTATAGTAAACTGCACAATGTCCTAAATTGCAGCAGTAATGTTAATCCTCTGGTCCTTATCTCCTAAATTCTCCTAATTTGGCTTATACCAAGCTACCCTTCTTAGAAGTAATCTCCTATACTCAGCTGCGGTATCTCCTCCTCCATAGAAGGTTGAAGGGCCAATCCTACTATGGAGGAGAGGGTACACAGATCTATTGCTGGATGTTGATGTTTTGCGCTTAAAGATCTCTGGGGTTCCCCCCATACAGGCAGGATTACTGGTTAATATGAAGCTTGCACTAGTTGTTTATACACTTAACGTATACTTGCCTTGCCTCCACCCCACGGTGTACTGTCTACATGCATTGAGGTGAAATAAGGGTCCCTATATGTGATACAGTTGATTATTGTACAAAAGGAGTTATATCTTGGCTAATGCATTAAGAGAAAGTTATGTACAAATAAGTGGGTCTAAATGGAGGTTAGCTGAGAGGCTGAGACAAGGTATATGTTTTGTTTTAGGAGATTCTAACCTGTATATTTGAATAAACTTTATTGTTTTATAGTAATTTGTGTTTATGGACCATTTCCCTGTACTTTAAAAATCCCATGTAGTCCCAAGGGTGTATCTTAAATCAGGCATGGACAAATCTTTGGAACATTCATGTTCCTTTTTTTTAGGTCTCTTCTGTTGTTGCTAATAGAAGCTGATAATCCCTACTGTTTAAAAGTATTCAGCTGGCCTGGCTCCTTAATCACACTGACAGTATACTAAACTCTACATTAGTGTGTCCAAACCCAATTTAGATTTGTATTGGGAGCACCGAGCCAGCTATACCACAAACATTTTAGGAGTAGAGTGGTAGGTTGAAAACTTGCCAACTTCCAGTATCTTTCATAGATGATACAAAAATTTCCTGGTAGTAGTTCCCTCGAAGGCCGTAGCTAAGATTTCAATCTCCCACAGCCTATTGCCACAGTTTATTTTTTTTATTCTAAAAACAAAAAGCAGAGGAACTTGGTGCCATCATTTGCTTTAATGGAAGTGGCATATGGGAGAAACTGCAATTTTTGGTGGGGATTCCATGTCACTCGAGTCTATGATTGATTAGAAGCTCAGCATGCGAATCAACTTGCAAAATGGAAACATCATTTTTGAGAGGGGTTGACATTTTGAGGTTTGTGCTGAAGGATTAGAAGTCCTGGTCCATCAGGCTAGGTTTGTGTTGCAATCCAGGAGTTAAATGGTATTTAGTTATAAATCTTTACATGTATGTATGTGGTATTTTGGAAGTACTTGTCACTAACCACGGTTCTTCTTCTTATCTCTCTTTTCTTTTCCCACCATTTCCTTGTCTCACCCAGGAGTCATCAGACAGCACACATACAAACCCGGAGGATGAAGAAATGAAAGGTATTGTAGCTCTAGCCACCTAAAACATTACCCAAATTGCTACCATTTAATGAAGTAAGTCTTTTCATGTGTCCACCTACTTCTTTTAATGCACCATCTGGTTAACATTGATACATATCTTATACCATCTACATCTATACCTATACCAGCTCCTCAGTGTATCCGTTTATTCTTCATAGTCGGTCTCTCCTAAACACTTGCTGAATCTCGTTAAGAACAATTCTCACATGCATATAATCTCAACTAATAAGCTCATACACCTTGTATTTTTCTTTCTTTCATATGTCTGTTTGTTTCTCATTGCACTGTCTTAGGGTCATCTTTATTCCCATGTTGTTGTATGGCCGGTCAAACACATTTTCTGGTTTTTAAACCTACCGCAACTTTATTTTTTATGGTTTCATCCTATAGGACTCCAACTGCTGATTTAAAATGGTACCACAATTTTAAGTTGTTTGCCCACCAAAAAGCAGGAAAAAGGTAAATACTGGTAGAAAGGTTGGAGCTACCTATAGTTTTGGTGGTTGGACATGCAGGGCAAAAATCGATTGAGCAGTGTGGGGCCAGCAATGGATCAATTTTCAGCCAATTCAGCAGGAACGTCCATGTATGGCCAGCTTTAGACACTCAGAATATGTAGAGTATTGGTAGAGTATTTGTAGAGTATTAGCTGATTAAGCTTTTAATTTGCTATTTGCGTGACAATTTTAGGTTAAAAGGTAGTGGAAACCCTTTTATAGGTACAGGAGACAGAAGCTTTCAAAAGCATGCAGATACATGAAAGGGTTAACAGGAACAAGGTAGAATATTAGGTATTGTTGCAAATGCAGGATATAGTATGTTGGCTTTAAACATGACGACAATGGTTTTACTGGAACTGACAAAATATTTCTCTGAACTAGTTGGAGTTATGGACCCCCTTGCGGCGTAAAAGAACTACTATCTACAGGTGACCACTGCAAACATCCTGACATGTGTCACTGCAAAGTCTGGACACATTGTTAGATGTGTGTCTCATTTTATCCCAACTCTCCTATTGTCTTTGTTTCAATGTTCATGAATTTAAAATGATCCCTGTACCACCACTGTAAGATGTCTTGATAAACAGTTAGTGAATGTAAGTGTCATGAGGTTCCATGGATCAACTGTGTCACCGGTACCAACAGCCAACTGACAGGCAGGACAGACACTAGAGTGGTCTAATTCCACAGACAGATGGTCAGCACAAACAGCAGATAGTGGCAGAGGCAGTACGCTGATAGTCATAACAGGAACACAAAAAAACAGGTCTAAAACAGAGTCCAGGTTCAAAACAGGTTTAAAGTAGAATGGCTGACAATAGCAGAGAAACCGGCCAATGACCAGGATAACCACAGATAAGTGGAGTACAAATGCAGTCCAAACATTTCAAAGGAGTAATGCAGGTGTCACGATCTGGATCAGGCTCGGAGTCCAGTAGCTGAAACAGCAGGCAAAGTCGTAGTCAAAACAGGCCAAGTTTGGTACACTAGCAGACGGTAGTAGTATAGGAGCAGGCAGAGGCGTAGTCAGAGATCAAGCCGAGGTCAGCAGCCAAAGGTATCAGGTATGAAGCGGAAGACGATGAGAGTAGTTGGTGAATCAGCAGCCAAAGGTCAGTACACGGGTAGCAGTATGAGCGGATTGTATCACAGGAAGAGCAAGGAAGCAAGATTTTGGCAGGAGCAAAATAATCTGGCAAACAGGAAGTGCAGAGGCATGGCTTAAATTGGAAGTTCAAGGGAGGAGTTCAGAGTTCAGCAGGAACTAGGTTTAACTGAGGATTACACAGGAGATCAGGCAAGGAGCTATCCAAGGTTCTAAGATGGCTCGGCAGGTAGAGCCACTGCCAGCTACAGCAGAGGCTCTGGGTTCAGATCTGGTTCCTGACACCAGGACATGAACAGACAGAAGCCAGAGTCAGACAGCCCTCTATCCAGCGTATTAGCAAACAGACTAACTTGTCGATCAGGCACAGGCTGTATGTCCAGCAGTCTATTTAACCCTTGTTGATTAGGGTACAGCTGTGCCCTGCAGACACTTGAGCCGGAATGCTGAGTAAAGACAATCTGATAGTAAAAGCTCACGGTTGATTGTTACAGTATGTTAGGACAAGGAGAGAGGAACTTGTGTGTTATTTAAACACAAACTATTCTTTTAAAAAGTAAGAGCTTCTGATATCATTATATACACCCAGTTTATTCTTTTACATACAGTATATAGGGGAAGGAGTTATAGTTTTATATGATATTATAAATAATCACTTTAGTACCATATTAAATGGTAAACTGAACCCAAGTCAGATATAAAGGCACAAATGAAGTCCTGTATTCATAATGCATCACTAAATGTATTTTTTAAGCAAGTGGTTTATGTGCCTGGATTTAATTTAGTATCAGCCTCTGAATGATGATGGGTTGAATGATGCTGGCTTTTTTATTTAACCCAAAATACAGAGGGCATCTTGTGGTGGAAAAGAAGTACGGTAGGGGACAGCTCTGGACTGAAGTTGAGCATTGCAGCAAAAGCTACTTTTTTTATTTCTTTTTTCATGAGCTATTCATTTGTTTGTTTTATTTTTGGATGGGCTTCTACTTTAATACTCCATCTATAAGATAGTGACACCTTTGTTTTGGATTTTGGGGGGTGGGGAGGGAAGACATAAACTAGTTTGGGGAAATCAATCATTTAGCCCACCAATGCAAATACCAGATTTAGCCTTTATATTTTTATAGGCCATAAAGAGCTTTCATCATCTATTGGGTTCACCTCTGGGTCTACTAGGGATCTGAATTCAAGAAATGTCGGCATGCAAGTTAAAGATTTTGAAAGGGAAAGGGAAACTGGCATAAAAATGTGGCCTTATTGTAACGTGTTTGAATGGCAGCACCTGTTTATGCAGTGCTTAGGAAAGCTGCAGGGGTCAAATAATGGGAGAAATAAATTAAAGAACACTTGGACTAGTCTGCCTATTCTCCGGTGATTTCCCAGACAACCAGTAGCCAGAGACCTCTCATTAATTCTAATAGAGGATAAGGGAGTACAAAGCTGTGGTCTGTTAATTATATAATTTATGTCAATTAAAATTGCTCTTTAGCATATACAGACAGAAATAATGTAGACAGTTAGAGGTCTCTTAAGATCCTGCTGATCACTGCAAAAAATGTGATGTCATATGGACTGATCGTCAAATAATCAAGCAAAGTGGACCTATTATTAAATGTAAACTTCATATTAATCAAGAGGGAACATTACTAAATCACATTATTATTTTATGTGAAAACTGTCTCTTCATCTGAATAAAAAAAACTGCATGTGGCCCAAAGCCTTGATCACATGATCACTGGCTACCAATGTGGATTGTGTTTCACCTAATTAGATACAGCTGTGAATTGACTGTTTCCATTGAGACCGATCCTCTGTGGTTGACTTGTAGTGAATTAGAAGATCTGTAAGGCACAACCAGGAAGCAGAGGCTACATACGTAAAAACGTATATGGCCACGGCCTTTTATCTATTACAAATTAAACACTGCCGGAAAAAAAAAAGTCATACACTGTAATATTTCGTTGGACGGCCTTTAGCTTTGATTATGGCACACATTTGCCGTGGCATCGTTTCGATAAGCTTATGAGTTGTATTGATTTTTCATCTTGTAGTGATGATGGGAGAGTCGGACCTCTGTGTAAAGTCTTCTCCAGCACATCCCAAAGCTTTTCAATAGGGTTCAGGTCTGGACACTGTGGTGGCCAATCCATGTGTGACAATGATGTCTCATGCTCCCTGAAACCCTCTTTCACAATCTGAGCCATTTGAATCCAGGCATTGTCATCTTGGAATATGTCCAATGTGCCATCAGGGAAGAAAAATCCATTAATGAAAAAACCTTATCATCAGGTAGTCAGCTGACCTCATTTTTTGGGGACATTACGTTTCTGTACCTAGACCTGACCAACTGAAGCAACCCCAGATCATAACACTGCCCAAAATCCAGGTGGTGACTTTCTTTTTGGCCAGGCAGTGTTTGTAGAAACAAGGATTGTTAAAACATTATTGCACACTGGTAAGGTTATATACATGAGGTTTATCTCTATCACATGAATATCTCAAAAACATTAAAAGGGACTGTGGCGACAGGCTTTGGGTTTATGGCAATAGTATCAATCTGACAGTGTGTGATGCATATCAGATCATTCAGAAATCAATGGCAGGTGTATTTGACCTGCAGGTAACCTCATTCTGACCTGCTTCAATCAGGTTTTGCATTCCTATAGGCTTGTAGAGGAATGCAATACCCGCTTGAAGGGAACAAAAGCCCCCCACACTGGTCAAAAAGACTACAGTTGTGCATAAAGCAAACCTAAAGTGCATTGAAGTGCCACTTCTACCACAAGGCAAAGTTCAAGCATGTCAGTTTACAATTGAGCTCTGTGGATGCCCCTCCTGCTAACTCTCTTACTCTGCCACTCTACTATACCATTTATTTGATGGGTGGCATTGCTAGCAAATAGTTTCCTACTTGGGCAACGTTTGATTTTTATTCACCCGCAATGTGCCTTTGAACTCTCTCCAAAATTCGACTACATTAGGAGAGTCAGTTCCTTATTACAGCCCCTTCACCATGCATGGCAAAACTCTCTCATCTTTCAGGATTTTCTAATTACTCTCTGTGCTGACCAAGGTCCTCCTCCCCTCACTTCACCTCACTACATAATGTTTTATGTATCTGTGAAGGAGAATATTAAAGAGAATCATTTAAGTGACAGCTCTGAGTCTGCTGGGCCTGATGACATTACATCCAAGATGGCCGCACCCAGTAGCAGTTTTAGGCCTTTGGATGCCTACAGAAAGGAGGTTTTAATAGATAAATAACACGCATATAATACAGTAAATACACATATAATCTTATGGGAACTTTTTTGTTGAATTGAATGGTCTGGCAACAAGGTCTCTTTTGAGTTTTCTTGACACAGAACTGGGGGATAATGGCTAGGCAGGTGGAATATTGGATATCTGATTACTGATTCAGACACAACAAAGAGGTTAGAAGAGAAGTGGTTCAATCTTAGATCGCGCAAGAGGTTTTTTACTGTGTGAGTAGTAAAAATGTGGAATTCCCTTCCACAAGCACTGGTATTCGCTGATAACGTAGAAAAGTTCAGGAAACTTCTAGATTAGTTTTTTAGTCACTAAATATACAAGGATATGGGAAGTGTTATACACACATAAATACAAACACACATACACACACACACACATACAGTATATAGGTTGAACTGGATGGACCTAGATCTTCATTCAACCTCACCTACTATGTTACTATGATTAGAACAGTGGGTATTTGCAGTTTAAGGATTGAATTGGAGAAGAATTTTCAGTTTCATTAGACTGGCAGTATTCTTGTGATAAAACTTTGGGTATCTCTTCTTTCCACCTTACCAGTCTTTTCCTTCTCACCTCGCTGGGCCATTGATAATAAGAACCCTTAAAACTCCTATTAGGCTTCTCAACACCCATCACAAGTACCCAACATCAAACAAAAGTGCCATATGCTAACACTACCTATGGCAGAAAAGGAACAGTAGAACAATGTTTTATTTGATACCCATCTGTACACTTATGTTTAGTGGCCATGAATCCAGTTTTAATAGTTCAGTGTTGATATTGTAACCAGTCATAAATGACCATCTTCCAACTTTAAAAGAAAAGCCAGAGTATTTCCCCTTGGAATAACCATTTTTACTCAGCAGAAGGGTATACTAAATGTCCTAAGCTTTTTTTTATATTAAGCAAACCCATGTTGTCTTGCAGTTTGTCTATGGTCCTAATCTCAGTTTACGAGTCTAACGAAGTTCTGCATGTTCAACTCATAACATTTCTGCTCCTCATAATTTGCTCTACTAATCCTCTCTTCATAATCATTTTTCCTTCTCTCTCTGTCTGGCTTCACCTCCTCTTCTCTCCCCCTTCTCTTTAGTGCTGAAGTTCTCAGACATTTTAAGCTCAGTGAGGAGGGGTTCGGGGGCCCTGGAAGCTGAGGGACCTCAAGCAGCGGTCGCTCAGCAGCCCCTCTCCCCATCCTTTCCCCATTCACCTCTTGCACAGCGTAAGTAATAGGAGTGGGACATGGAAATCTCTTAAACCTACAGTATATGCATGGATAGCCCAGTAAAGAAATCTATTTATTACTCCTACTTTATTAGATTAAAGATATTATGGGATGCTGCAATTTATTTGAATAAATCACGTGTACTTTCTATGATGTGTAAATATATCAAGGTAACATAAAGAAAAAAAAATAATGCAGTGGAAATGGAAATATTTTAATCCGAGATGTCAATATATTTAATTGCAGGAGTAGTTGGTGCTGCAATGGATTCAGATTAGATTACTCCGAAGCCCCTTGTGTTTGTGTCAAAGTTGTGTATGTGCGGGAGTGTATTGGCTTTGCCCCTACTTGCTTTCTGGGGAGGGTTGGAGACTGGCATTGTCCTTGGCTGTTTGTAATGAGATGTTTTTTGTGTTTGTCACTCACATTGCTACTTTGTCTCTGCTCTTTCTGTGTTGATATCTGTCTTCTTTTTTCCCCTTTTCTTTCCCTTATCTTTGTTGTTTCCTTACCATTCCCTTCCCCCTCCATCCTTTATTTATTTGCTATGGCCCTTCCACTTTCTCTTTTACCTTTCTTCTTGGATTTCCAACTCTGTTCTGTTTTTCTGTCCCTTTTCTCTATCTATTGGTATTCTACTTCTATCTTATTTGTATCTCTTTTCACTACTGTTGCCTCACTATGTTGCCATTATAACTATTTCTGTCTTTGTGTAAATCATCTTTCCTTCTATCTTTGTTTCTGTGATTGCACTACCATCTTGTGTCCTATCCTTCACTTTCTGTCCTTATTTTCTTCCTACTGTCTCTGGCCTATCGTTCTTTGGTTCTTGTTATTGTACCTTTTTTTTTTTTAAATGTCTGTTACTTGCTCTTTTTCTTGTTTCTCTCTGTTACCTTTACTTTTTTCTTCTGTGTCTACATCTCATGCTTTATTCCTTTTATTGCCTTTCTTCCTTTTACTCTTCTGTCCTTTTATAATCATTTCTGCTTATGGTTTTTGCCTTTCAACATTCACTTCTCTCTTTTGTCTCCTTCTCTGTCACCTGTTCTTAAACCTGTCTGCTTCTCAATCGCTCGTTCTGCTATGGCTGTTGATGCTTCTTTGATCTTTGTTCTTAAATCTTTCCTGCTTTTCTGTCACGTCCTTATAACTCTGTCTCTGCTGTTCTGTCTCTTGTCCTACTATTTCTGTTTCTGCTTTCCTGTCTCTTGTCTCTATTTCTTTCCCTGGTTCCCGTCTCTTTGTCCCCCTCCCAGCTGCTAGATTTACAGATATATTTAACACAGTCAGACGAGGCTCAGAAGCAGAGGGGGTGCAGTATTCCAACACGCAGCATCGGCTCTCCCAGCCCCACCTAAACTCTCCGTTTGTACAGCGTAAGTAGAACTAGCGCATACAAACGCATCTCACATGGGCTCACTCTCCTCCTTCCTTTTAAGACCATTGTCTCTGGCTCCCCACCATATTTTTGTTCTTCTTATGATGCTCTCTTCTCTCAATAACTCTTCTCACCGGTTTGTTTATCTTCTCACCAGCCTCTCATCTTCTGCAAAAATGTTCTTCCAACACCGTTCTTCCTCCAGCCAGATGTTTATCGTATTGTTTTCTATTTACCATACTCATCACGCAACATGTTTTCTTGCCTTTTATTTTTTTCACATTGACGTACTTTATTGTCCATTGCACACTGTTCTTGATCAAGTGTTATTTTGCTAATGATCACCTTTCCCTTCTAAGCACACTGTCCATAACCTTACCATATTTTCTTTCCTCTATCCAGGTTTGCTGTCTTCCTTTTTGCAGTTTACTCTTTATTATGGATAGCATTGTGATTTACTCTCTCTTTACATTTACACGTGATATTCCTTTTTTCTGTGTTATTTTTCCAAGTTACCAGTTGACACAGTGCCATGTCTACACCAACAGTCTTCACACTTAGAATGGATGTTTGTTTCCACAAGTTAACTAACTATAACGGCAGTGTTTTCTGACTTCTCTTCATGGTTTACTACCTTGTTCACAATGGCCATCTCCAAGTCTATAAACAAAATACAACTGATACTTTGAGCCTTGTTTCACCATATTTTCTTCCACATTCATTGGGGCATGACCACTTAACCATGCATTCATCCTGAGATATCAATTTAATATCCTAATATTCTGCAACTATTAAGCTTCCTTACATACTGCCATCTTTTTATACAGATCCCCCACAGGGTACTTTGTTATTTCATGCTGTATTCTCTTAGTGAAGCTCAAGCACTGATTTAGCTGGAATGCCAAATGCTAATGTGCCACTATTTTACAATACATAAAGTGGTGATCCAAGAGGATACCGTGTATGACTAGCCATCAGAAACCTATAATTTTGTGCTTTTCTAATGAACAGGATATGCTTATATATTATATCGAACTCCAGCTTTCTTTCTGGTGTATTTTTTCCAGGCTCGAATTGTATTTCACATTCAGACAGTTCAGTTACCTCCCCATTTAAAGTTCTTGGTAGTTGTTTGCCAGACATTCACATTTCACACAAAGATGTTTACACATCATTTGTACAATTTCTGCTTTTATGGTGAAATTCTAAACTATCTGTGGATCTGTGAAAAGTCTGTTTGATTAGCAAAGCTAAACAGTTGTTTTTTTTGACAGCTTGTAGCCTCTTCCTTTTCATCTCTTTTTCTGCCAAGAGGTAACTGTCAGTAATTATACTGATTATTATTTAAAAGCTTCTAAAAGTTTAAGTTAGCAAAATGATTCAAAAGAATTTTAAAAACAATTGAATCTTTTTCTTTTTGGAAATATGTACAACACTATCTAAGCAGTCGCTATTAGAATGAAATGCTAATAACTATGATAATAATTGTGTGCTATTAATTGTGATACATGGCAATCACATACACATACAACTAACATATTTGTTGGTGCAACATTTCTTCACAATGCAAAACCATTACATTCTCAGTATTACTGATTGAGCCCAATCATCTAAGACCCATAAGTGACCTTCAACTCTATAAAACCCTGGATGAAAGTTGTAGCGGATCCAGTGGTCCTGAGGTAGAGGAGGAGATCTCTCTTCTATGATTATTAATAGGAATTCTGCCCATATATGGCTGGACGCCATTATTATGGAACAGATGGATATCTTCTCTGACTCTTACATTTTGATTTGACATTCCGACCCCAAATGCCATATTTTGGCCCCTACCATTGCATTCCTTCTGTGGTAGTGCAGATTGAAACATTTTTTGTTCAGCACGTCTTCCATACTCACAGTATATTTACCATTAGTATTGTTATGTGTTCCTTCAGACCGCTTTCATGCTGTACCTTCTCACAATCGTCTGCTTAGTTTAACCAACCACTTTCTTTTCCAGCTCGAAAACAGGAGATCATTAAGATAACAGAGCAGCTGATTGAGGCAGTGAATAATGGAGACTTCGAGGCATATGCGTGAGTTTCTGAGCTCTATTACTAACATATATTGCACTGAGCTCTATTACTAACATATATTGCACTGAGCTATATTACTAACATACATTGCACTGAGCTCTATTACTAAGATACATTGCAGTCATGAATAATAGAAGGTTGGCTACGCAGCAGAAAATGGGAAATAGTCAATATGTACTATTGTGTATTGTATGAGAGATATGTTAATCTCACTGACCATGACAAAAGATAAGTTTCTTTATTCATTCTATTGCATGAGAGAGTAATGAACTGCGTAGCACAACGAACATTTGTGCCACATCTCTTGATCGCTCACAAATTACAGGACCTCTATACACATGAAAATTAACTTAAAGTTACAAAATGTTCAATATTAGTTTTACTTAAATGGTTTCGCTGTGCGCATGGGAGAAGCCAGGACAAGATTGTGCTTGCACACGGTAATCGTATGTTCGTGTACCCGCATATTTAGCATATCGTGCTGAATATATTATGCATGATGACATAATTTTCAGTCCTGGCACTCAGAAATTTTTATAATTCAGCTGAGTTTGAAGAAAGAATGAAAGGTCAGCCTTATTATCATAAGCAGACTAGCAGCTTTTCTAGGTTCATTTATAATACTGGTTACCAGGAGCTGTTAGTGGATATTGTAAGGGGAGTTTAAATGTTAACTTCATAAAATAACTATTACATCAACCAGCTAGACAATATGGGGAGGATTTATCAAAACTGGAGCAGACAAAACCTGGAGCAGCTGTGCATGGCAACCAATCAGCTTCTCTCTTCAGTTAAGATTTGAAAATGAAACAGAGAGGCTGATTGGTTGCCATGCACAGCTGTTCCAAGTTGTGTCAAATTACCTTCTATCTATTTAGGGTTGGATAAAACCTGCATATTTTTTAACAAACTAATCCATTTTTATTTTCTAGGAAAATTTGTGACCCTGGATTGACTACGTTTGAGCCAGAAGCTCTGGGTAACCTTGTTGAGGGGATAGATTTTCACCGATTTTACTTCGAAAACTGTAAGGAGACAATGCAGGGAGATGTCACAATGATGTCACTTTCTGTACCAATAGCAAATTATTTATTTTTCGGGGAGAGTGGGTGAAAATGTGCAAAAGCAAAGAAAGGCTTCTGTTTACCCAATTGCACTGTCTTTTTTCAAAATACTCAAACTGAATCATATGATTCTGTGACTGGAAACTAGGATGGACACATATTAGTCGCGATGGATAACTATATAGCATTCGTATTCAATTCTAGATGTTTAGGGACTTTAACCAGTTGACATCCGCGGTGTTACACCCCCTTCCCATACAGACAACAATTGGCTCCATTGTATTTAACAGAAAAGGTTTCTAAATACACCAACTTTTACCATGCTCATTTTCTATTTGGCATGTTAACTTACCATGTGATGTTCCTTTTTCCATCTTCTCCTGATAAATTCCTCTTCAACACAGTGTGCAATCATCATCAACATGTTCTCACCACATCCATACTCTAAAGGTGGCCATACACTCTACAACCATCGCAAGACCTTAGTCTTGCGATGGTTGTACAGGGATTAAAAAAACGTACGATCTGCCTATCTTGGACAGGCAGATCGCACTCTCGATCATCGCAAGCCCGCCCCCCTGAGGGGCGGGCTTCCGATGACCGCAATGCTGAACGGGCAGTGTGCGCGTGCGCACACCGGCCCGTTCGGCATTTGTCTACCGATCACCGTTCTAACCAGCCGAGAATCGTACGATTCCGTTCACACTGCTCGATTCTCGTACGATCGCGGGATTTCCCGCGATTCTCGTACGAGAATCGAGCAGTGTATGGGCACCTTAAGTATGAAGTTGGCTAACATTTCTGTTATAAACATGAATAGCTGCAAGTGTGTCATCCTATATGTGGCTGCATGGTGGCGTAGTGGTTAGCGATTCTGCCTTGCAGCACTGGGGGTCCCTGGTACGGTCACTATCTGCAAAGAGTTTGCAAGTTCTCCCTGTGCTTGCATAGGTTTCCTCCCACGCTACAAAAACATGCTGGAAGGTTAATTGGCTCCTGTCTAAATTGGCCCTTGTATGTAAGCATGTGAGATAGTGGCCTTAGATAGTAAGCTCCTTGAGGGTAGGGATTGATGTGAATGTGCAACTATGTAAATTGTTGGCACTATATAAATACCTGTAAAAAATAATAATATACTGGCTTCCAGGTCACAATTATCATTTCTAGGCACATTCTCACAGTTATAATTTTTGGGAATAGAGCACAACTGCCCATATGTGGGATCTTAACATGGCCGGTTTAAAGAAGAACTCCAGGGATGCCAAAACTAACTGTTACAGTTGGGCTACCCCAGCACTGCAAGAGTTAAGTTCTCATTTTGGTCTAGGGGTTCAAATAAAGCAGATATACTAACCTGATCCTCAGTCCCACCTGCCGGTCCACGTAGCCTCTTTTTCTCTGGGCTCCAGTGGTCTAAAGGTGTCCTAACACTGGCCAAATGTTGGCCGGTTTTTAAAGTACCAGCTGACATTAGCGCAGTGTATGGGGCTGTTGGATCCCTTTCAGCCGGCATTCCTCGATCAGATGATCGAAGAAGCCGGCTGGAAAATCTTTGTACGATCAGAGCCAGCAGCCAAAAAGCTGCCCGCTCTGATTGGGTATTCGATCGACACGTGTGTTTGTGTTGATGGAGGAATCACATCAATTTCTTCCATTCAGCCCACTGGTTGAACGAAAGAAATTGACAGGTGTATGGCCAGCTTAAGGGCTGCTGACGTCATCATATCTAATGCAAGACTGAGGATCAGGTGAGTATATCTGCTTTATTTGCACCCCTAGACTAAAACGAGCACTTAACCCCTGCAGTGTTGGGGTAGCCCCACTGCAAGGGTAAGTTTTTTTAAATCCCGGAGTTTTTTTTTAAAGTGAGTCAGAAAAAGAGAAGGTTTAAATGCAAGTATCCATTCCCCATTATTCCACATATGCCTTAGGGTATGCAGACAGGAAGTTGATTTCCTTGGTTTTTTAATCGGTTGATAACTGTCCTGTTAAGATGTATTTCAGTATCAAACAATGACGGGTCAGCAGAGTGAACAGTTTAATCATACATTGACTGGATTTGTCCTAGTGTGGACCGCTTTCAACAGTATAAATAGCAAACTAGGTCAATAGGAATGTGCATATACACGTTGTATTATTTGTCATCACTAGACTCAGCATTCAGAGCAGGGAATCAGCATAGGTGTAAACAGGAAACCTGTTTGTGTTATTTCTCTCCTCGTGTACTAAACCATCATTTAGTAGTAATACATGACAAACATCTAGTTAAATGACTTTTAATCAGTGGCAAAAAAACTTGCAGTTAGAAAAATGTCAGCAGGCTTTAATGCAGGCGAAATGGGTCAAATGATGAGGGGCCACACTTACATACCCACAAAAAGATATTGCAGAGCTTTTTGGGATTACCAATACAATTACTTCTCAATTGCTAAATATTTAGTTACAGGTTTGGTGTCATGAATTAGTGCTAAATTTGTTAAACCTGAATTTCTTTACACAAAATTGTGTAAAGAAATATAACCTAAATAATATATCATTTTTTTTAAACCTTACACTTTTAAGGGAGCCAATAAAGATTAAAGTTGGCCATAAACATTCATGTGTGAGAGTGAAAAAAAATCTTTTCACATTTAAATGTTAACATGTATACTAAGATTACCTGAGTATGCATGGTACAATGTCTATGTAGAAGAAAGGGGAGAGCATACAGACACCATCACCACCAAATTAATCCTAAAAAACCTAATGTGGCCAATCTCTAGATCTGGAATGACTGGAGGTTTCCTGGTCATATCCATGGCAGCTCTAAAAAATGGGTTTAGTTCCAACTACACACACATGGACGAGCTGATCAGCATAGATATTTTACCGGTAAAGCTCAAATTGATTGAGCAAACAGCGCTGAAAAAATGTGACTCTATATGGGATATAATGTATCAATAAACTGTGGGATGGCTACTATCGTGATTAGACCAATCCACCGTGTTTGAAAGTCTTTTGATCCCAGAAGAGGATGAAGTGAACTTGTAGACAGTTGTTTCGTGGCTATAAAAAATAAAAGTAATTCACCAGCACACACTTGAAGGGTTTTTGAAGTATTGATATGTTTTTTCAATACCCAATGTCACATACTGTCATACGGTGCTAACGTTTCGGGTTCGCACAGGGATCCTTCATCAGAGCGACAGTGACAATGCTTAAAAAACCCTTCAAGTGTGTGCCGGTGAATTAGTTTTATTTATTTATTTTTAAACCCCTGGGACAGTGTTATTTTTGTAATCTGTGAAGTTTTGTTTGTTTTCCGGATTTATTTGGCCTTGGGAGTTTAGCCTCTCTCCCCTGGGAGGTCCTCAAGACTCTGCCCAGAGCAAGGGTGTCCCCTTGGGGAGCAATGATATCTCTTCATGGCTGGAGGATGCCCACTAGGAGTCTGGGAGGAGCAGGCATACGGCTGGACTGCAGGGTTTTCCCATGATGTCATCCTTTTGAAAATTTTGGTAAGTCCGTTGGGATGACACTTACCTGTTGTGGGAAGTTTAGTTCCGTCCGGCTCCCCACTGAATTTGCCCTTCTCCTCTGTGTCGGCATTGTGTGGGCAGGACAGGATGGGCAGTTTCGGCTTCAGGCTCCTTCTGCGCATGCGCGAAAGTTCTGTCTTTGTGACGTCATTCGAAAGGTGTTTTTGGCGCCAAATTTGAATTTTTGGGCTATTTGAGGGAAACCAGGAATTTTAAAGCGGTTTGCTTGCTCTGTGGGATAGTACCTCTTGGACCCTTTGGAGCTGTATAGAATCTTCTGCCTCCTCGGGGAAAAAGAAAGAAAAGTCTGCAAGATGTCAAGCTTGTGATAGCAAAGCTATGACGGGGAAAACATTGTGTGGAAATGCTTTAAAGAAGCTGCGTCCACTTCTAAGTCTCCCGACATATTGGATCTCATCCAACAGGCGGTAGCCAAAGGAGTAAGGCAGCTGGTCATTCGCATAAGAAAAGGAGGGCAAGCAGTTCCCGTTTTGATTCCCCCAGAATACTCGGAGGAAGAGATGTCACTTTCGGAAGGGGAGTATGCGTCATCAGCGGACAGAGAAGATTCGCCAACTCATGGTTCTTTAGAACCCAAAAGAGTAGATACTCTTACTTCCATGGTGCGCAGAACCTTGAGCATGAAGGAGCAGGAGGAGGTTCCTTCCCCCTCAAGCAAACACTTTGCAGGACAAAGACAGAATTATCCTTCCCGGTAAGCAAGATCACCAAGTAGCTCATTAAAGAGCATAATTTGGTGAAGCCCTATACGGCTTTGGTCATTGGCCTTCAGCTTGTGGCTGGCCTTGTCCTCAGTATCAAGAACATCCAAGTTGTGGATTGAGGATCTGGAAGAGGATATAAAGAGGTGAGTGTGAGTAGACACAGACCTCTGGATAAGATACAGGATATTAAACTGGCAGCGGAATTGTCTACAGAAGCCTCAGATGACCTGATTCAGTCCTTAGCAAGAGGTATGGTATCCCCTGAAGTAGCTCGTCGAGCGCTGTGGCTCAGATCGTGGGGTGCCAACTCTCCTTCGGAGAACAGCCTGTGTTCCCTAGCGTTCCAGGCCGACATGCTATTCGGCCTGGAATTGGAAAGCTACATTAAAAAATCTATCAATAGCAAAAAAGCAATGTTACCACAAGAAAGGAGAAACAAGAGAACCTATAGGGATGGAAGCAACATTAATTTTCATGACTCGAGGTCCTACAAGCCTGGAAAAGAATCTACTCGATCACACATGGAGAGGAGGATTTGGCCATTCCAGGAATGGGAGAGGCAGAAATGCAAGAAATATCAAGCCTGAGCGGGTTTTATGAAGGTGTTGGTGCAAGATTGCAGCTATTCTCAGGTCTCTGGGCAGAATCAACATCAGACGCTTGGGTATAAAGTATAATCACTGGGGGGTACAATCTGGAATTCTGATCTTTTCCCCCAAAAGGCAGGTTCATAGTGACCAAACACCCACAGGATTTGATGGAGAGACAGGCTATGTTGGACTACGTAGACTCCCTTCTCTCCCAAGCTGCCATCACTGCAGTACCTGAGAAACAGCAGTTCCAGGGATTCTATTCCCATCTGTTCCTCACTCCCAAAACAAAGGGTGTTTGGAGGGCAGTACTCAACTTACACCGACTCAACAAATTCATACAAGTCAGAAAATTCAGGATGGAGTCCCTCCAAACTATATTGCAAGTTGTACGTCCAGATACGTGGATGGTATCCATAGATCTAAGGGATGCGTACTTCCATGTCCCCATTTCAGTTCAGGGCAATGCCGTTCGGGCTCAGCACCGCCCCAAGGACTTTCTCAAAGGTACTTGTCACAGTCATAGCAGAAATACGGAAACAAGGGGTAACCATTTTCTATTATTTGGACGATGTCCGGATTCTGGTGGACTCAAGAGAATAAGCTATCTTCAGCAGGGATATCAGCATAGAAACCCTGAAGAGGTATGGATGGCTGTTGAATATGGAGAAGAGCAACCTGACTCCAGCCCAAGAGATGGTGTACTTGGGAGCAGAATTTAACACGAACCTAGGGACAGTTCAACTGTCCAAAGACAGAGTTTGCAAGATGAAGCAGAAGGTGAAGGCAATTCAGATGAGTATGCATGTCACAGCGGACTTCTTCATGAGCCTGTTAGGCTCCATGTCATCAACCATAGGCCTTACTGCATGGGCCCAATGGTGTATTATCGAATGTGGAAAGTGTTTTCCACAAGGGCCAGGGACAACAATGTTGACCTTTCTCAACAACTTTCTTCTAAGTCGATCCTAGAATTCCTCCAAGCAGGTCTGGATAAAGGAATGAGCCTAAGCTCGCTCAAAGTGCAGGTGTCGGCTATATCAGCTATCACCAGGATCAGATGGACCCAGAAACAGAACATGTCAAGATTTCTGAAGGCAGTAGGTAAAGTTAATCCTCCCAAAAGGCCTCTCTACTCATCCTGGAATCTTCCTCTCATTTTGGAAAATCTCTCTGGTTCTCCCTTTGATCCATTGGAATCTGTCTCCAATTTTCTCATTTTACATGAAGATGGGGTAATTCTGAGAACTATCCCAGGGTTCTTACCTAAAGTTCATGCCAGTTTTCACATTAATCAAGATATCATCCTGCCCGCTAAACTCAGAGGAGAAGGACGGATGTTTAGACCTAGTCAGATGTCTAAGAATATTTGTGGACAGATGTAGGGAGTGAAGGAAGTCCAAAAGGCTGTTTGTTATTCCAGCAAGAGCAAGGAAGGGGCTGGCAGCAACTAAGGCTATGTTGAGCAGATGGATTGTGTTCACCATCATTAGCGCCTATGAAACGGTGGGGGTATCCCCACCAGAAGGCATCAGGTTCTCACTCCACAAGGGCTATGTCCTCCTCCTGGGCGGCAGTGTCAGGAGTTTCATCAGATCAAATCTGCAGGGCAGCAACATGAGCGTCTATATTCTACGTTTATTAAGCATTATGGTCTGGACGTCAGGGCTGCAGTAAACGATCACTTTGGCTGAAGTGTCTTACTTTCTCGCCACGAGGTCGAATAATTTGTATTCGGCATTTAATACTGTTGTCTGTATCTTTTTATTCCCATCCTTTCTTATGCTTGGGTATTCCCCATTTTTCGGCGCTGCCATGGAGATGACCAGGAAATCAGAAAATGTAATCATACTCACCGTCATTTCTTTCCCTGGTTATATTCCATGGCAGCGCTGGGCTCCAACCCAATGGGATTATTTCGCTTGTTACTAAACTGGGGAAGTCGGTAGAAGGAAGGGCTTTTATGGAGTGGGGAATGCCTTAATTTAACCCTTTGGTTCCTGTCATCTAGGGGTAGTTGGAACTAAACCCATTTTTCAGGTCTGCCATGGAATATAACCAGGAAAATAAAATTACGGTGAGTATGATTACATTTTCTGGTTTCTGTTTGCTGGTACTCATAGGTAGAAACACCCATCACCTGATGCTGTCAAAATCAGCTGGATAAGGGGATGATTATCTCATTTCTATTGGTACCTTAAAGCGAACTGCAGGCAAATCAATTTTTAACCCTTGCAGTGGGGCTACCCCGCACTGAAAAGGTTAAGTGCTTGTTTTGTCTAGGGAGCTAAAATAACAAAGTTATACTCACCTGAACCAAGATCCCTGCTTGCCCTTAGACTGGCCCCTTCAGACTTGCTCCCCCTCCACTCCAGGCCTCCAAGGTCCTGTGAGTCATCACGTTATATAGAGTGTATAGAATGTGAGGACGCAGGGGGACATACCATTGCTGGAGCAGGGAGGAGACAGGCTGGAGGGTGCATGTAGGAGTCAGCCAGGATCGTGGTTCAGGTGAGTATAACTGTTATTTTAGCTCCCTAGACAACACGAGCATTTAACCCTTTCAGTGCGGGGGTAGCAGTGCTGCGAGGTTTAAAGTAGTATTAAAGTCTCAAACTTTTTTTTCAATAATGAATCCGGATCAAACAAATATGCATCCCCCAGCAAAGTATTTCTTTAAATTTTTGTAACATTCACAATCATCATGTTTCTGAACTGTTGTTTCCAAGTCTTTCAGCTCAGCTTCCCTGCACTTCCTGTCTAGTACAAGATCACAAGGGACAGAGCAGACTCCAGCAACTGTTTATCTACTAGACTCGAGGAGGGAGGAGAGGGGGCCAGGGGGGATGGGAGGAGCTTGCTTTGCTGTGTGTCTGTGGAGATACACACAGCTTACTAGCACACACAAGGGTGACTGCTTAGCACTCTGCTTGAGAAAGGAGCCCCCCTAAAACAGGATATCAGGACCAGAGCTCAGGGGAGCAGCTGATTCTGCAGAAAACTAAAACTTTAGAACATCAAGGAGCAGCGTCCATTGTAAGTGATTTCATCAGCATTTGAAATAGCTTAAAATCCTTTTGACTTTAATATCACTTTAAGTTTTGATTTGCCTGGAGTTCTGCTTTAGGAGGGCTGTATATAAGCCAAAGAGCATCAGATTGACATACCTGATTAAACAAAACTTCCGGTGTTATATGGCAATGATTTATACTTATCTCCCCATTTTGCTTATTGCTTTTATGGTTTTATTTTACATTTCTTTTTAAAGTTAAATAACATTTTTTTGATTTATGTTTAGTGCTGTCTAAGAACAACAAGCCAATCCACACGACCATCTTGAATCCTCACGTCCATGTGGTGGGAGAGGATGCTGCCTGTATCGCCTACATACGCCTGACACAATACATCGATACACAGGGTCGACCTCGTACCAGCCAGTCTGAAGAGACCCGTGTTTGGCATCGTCGTGATGGAAAGTGGCAAAATGTCCACTTCCACTGCTCAGGGGCCCCTGTGGCACCCCTCCAGTGACAGTAAGATAATGAACATACCGCTATTCTTGCTTCAGTGAACAGTGACAGATGTATCCTGCTAGCCCACCCCTTAGCAAGGATTAATCACCAATTCACATTCCTTCACCACCTCCTTCAAAACCCTCAATGTACTACTGTAACAGAGCATGGCTTTCGGGAGCGCATGCCACCTCATCCGTGTGATATTGCTCAGGCCTGAGTGGCCAATCGCCAGGCCCAAGTACTGTCATGTGGAGGGGGTAAGTGATCACATCCACCTGCTTAAACCAAGCCTTCAATCTTCTTTGCTACTTTATCTAACATTGCTCCTTCCCCGCTCCTTTACCATAGTTGCAGTTTCTTTTTTTATAAATTCATTTTTTTTAAAGGAAAATTATGGGGAGAGTGAAATGCACTCCTCCCCATATTTAGAGCTGCACGGTCACACGTTGGCTCTATAGATCGAGAACTGAGCGATCACTTACCACTACTTGTGCAGTTCACGATCTTCTTCCAGCAGAGAGCAGGGACTGTCATTCACTGCTCCCCACAGGGATTTCCCCCTCCCCTCTCCGTTCCTCCAGTGCTGACTGGAGGGACAGACAGGGGAGGGGAGGGGGCGAACACAACTGGTTCTCCCTCTGGAGGTAGCGGGTTGGATCCTGAAAACATTGTCGGATCCTTCTTGGCTGCTGCGCGGCTCTGCGCTGTGAGCATAGAGCGGGTGCTATATGCTGAGTTTTGGGTCCCAGGAGGACATTGGTAAATGGCCTCCTGGGACCCAAAAGAAAACTAACCCCGAAAAAAATTTGCCCAACAAAATAGCTGTAGCTTCCACCATTCTCTTCGGAAGAAACAGACGGCCCCCTGATAACGTAAGAAGACAAGATGGTGTGAGGTGTTGGATTACACCAGACAGTGCAGTTTTTTTTAATGAAACCCAATGGACTAAGAGAGGAAAGAAATAAAATGTGAGGGGGAGTGAAGTTCCTCTTTAGGCACTGCTGCACACCATATAGCATTGTGACCAGTGGTAACAAAGTAGGTGATCAAAGTGACCTCCACAGATGGCACAGTCCAAAGTCTCAGGAATATGAAGAGAGGTCACCAGTACTCAATATCTCAATATTTTATTACAGAATTGCGTCACATAGGTCTTAATACCAACATTTTGGGGCCGCGCAGGGTCCATTCCCCAAGGCGGCACAGTGGCAAATACAATAGATAGTGAACAGATATATCTATCTATATATAGATAGATATATATACACACATATATACAGACACAGCGGGTAACCACTCCCCCTTCTGACATCACTATGATGTCAAAATAACCTTTCTTGCATATTGAGTGTTGGTGACCTATTTTATTATTCCTCTTTGAGCACTGACACCGGAGCTTTTTTCAGGGTGTACACTTGCAGCACAGAGGCGGCTAAGAAGGGTGGCTTGAATAGGTGAATAAACCTTAATAGGGGGATCAATCAGAAACACTGAATAAGAAACTGGCATCGTGTCTTTCTGGTTTTGTTTACATAATGTGCTATGAGCTGCTTTTGTCTGCACACCACCAAACTCATGGTGTGAACAGGGCACATTAACAACAATTGTCCTGTAAATGTGCGGTGGTGTGCAAAAAAATTTAACTTAACAGACATGGTGTAAACAAGCCCTTAGTATAACTTGAATTTATGGTGGGACAGGGTAATGAAGCTTTGCCTGGGGCACTGCAAACTTAGTAGAAAAAAAACCTCTTTGTTGCTTAAGGTGAAATCGCACCAGATGCGTTGGTGCTGAGCTGGCTGTTTTTTCCAGTGCAGCCCTAATGCAAGAAAAGGCAATTTGCCTTGTCACAGATGGCCACAGTTCACACCACCGCATTCTGTACCTATAGTAGATCTACCCACTACCTCCTGCCTAAATTTCTACATAAAGTAGATCTACCTACTTCCTAGTTCTCTACATAAAATAGATCTATCTACTACTTAAGTCTCTACGTATAGTAGATCTACCTACTTCTTAGTTCTCTACATAAAGTAGATCTACCTCCTGCCTAAGTATAGTAGATCTACCCACTTCCTAGTTCTCTACATAAAGTAGATCTACCTACTACCTAATTCTCTATGTTTAGCCTTTAGAATGTTAGTGGTTTGCTTATGTTAAACCTAAAAAAAAGTGATACATGTCTTTAGGTAAGAACAAGTTAGGTCATCCGCCTTGTATTTGAAAGATGTGCCATCGAAGCTTTATTTAGCCTTTTAACCGCTGACCATAGACCACTTTATCTCTTTTTCTGCAGCCTCCAGTAATGCCCTCCTGGCTTCACCAGAAAAGAGGAAGTGCCAGAGACTTTTGGCTCCGCCGCTCACAGAGTTCCAGCGGCGAGGAAAAGCACGTGACCGCATGCTTGTGCCGTTCCCTCTCATCCCTCCTCCCCCTCAACCCCTCCAAATCCAGACTCTTCTATTCTTGTGGCCCTCAATCCCCCCCTCCCATGTGCACACATACCCCAGACATCCACTGCCTGGACTCATGAAATGTTTGCAAGAGGACAAGAAAATGTAGGAAAAAAAGCCTCCTATGTATGTTTCCCTTCTGAACTTTAAGCATTCTTACCTTTCCCAAGCTGGGGAAGGGAAAGCTGAAACCTGTATGACCCCTACCATGCTACAGGAGTAAGTGCATCCATTGACTTGTTGCAGAGAGAAAAAAAATTGACCTTCAGCCTTCTTCCCTCTGGTCTTTTTGGCTTTATTTGGGGGGTTGCAGAGGGGTGGAGGGATCGTCTGAAATCTCGAGGGGCTGGGGGGAGAGAACTGTAACCTTCCCGTGGAGCTGTTCCTTCCCGTGTGTTTGCGCGTCCAACGTGAAATGAGTCGTCCAAACAGAACAAAACAAACCCACATCCTGTAAATAATGGTCTTATCCATTGTCTGCAGTGGGAGAGCCAGTCCCAAAGCATGGCCGGCGCATTTTATGGAGTGTGCTTAATGTCTGTCATTCCTCAGTGAGTACGATTCTCCTCTGACGTGTGGGGTCTGCACGCAGAATCCATGAAGCCACTCAGATCTTCTGAGATGGGGGATATTACAGGGATTCTCCTTATAGATTTCCTTTGAAGTAGCTTGGGTTTTCATTCAGTGTCCCTCCAGGAAATTACGTTTTACTGAATTCTAGTTACTATTGAGATAGCCATTATTTTGTAGCCTATGAAATTTTTTTTGCAGAAGGTTTAGGGTTTATAGGATTTTCTGTGTTTGTAGGGCGGCAATGTATGATCCAAGGATTATATGGGTCCAGTGTCAAGGACTGAATCTTCCAGGATGCACCGGTTTCCCTTCAAGTGGATCTGCTTCACCGTGGAGGTGGCCATTTTGTGACTTGAGCTATCTTTCAGAAGAATGCTGAATATAATTCACTAGGATCTAGTGTGACTAATTCTACATGGGATGAGCTTTGCTTCCGTCCAGAAAATGGCTACTTTCACTGTGTTGAGTTGACTGATTCTCTTTGAATACCCTGGGAAAAAGCAGCAACCAAAATCTTCAGGGATTGAGGGGAGGCAGAAATCCAATATCGCTATTGTGCCTGATCTTCATTGCCAGGACAGACTCTTCTGCGCATCCCCAATAGAAAAGGCAAGGGGGTGTATGTGTAAAGTTGGCTATACACTGGTAGATTTTCATTCTTATTCGTGTCAGAGCATTCAGTGACTGGACAAACTGCGTCCTGAAAAATGTAATTCAATTGCCATGCCATTTTGCAAAGTTTAACGTTTGCCTTCGGGATGCATGGAAGTGATGTAATGTTTATTTATGCATGTGATGCTATAAGCCACTCCCTCGTACTACCGTATTTAGGGAATGTTCATTTTCTGAACCAACAGTCTGCCAAAGTCATTGTGATGCTACATTGTAAAGTACGTTTCTAAATACATTTTATAAGCGTTTTTCTTTAATACATTCGTTTACCATGTAGAATCTTTTAAACAGACGAATGTTCATGACCACGAAAGTTCTTTTTTTTATTCAGATAAGATACAAGGAAAATCTTCCATCCTTCTCTTCAATTTCCCTCGTCACTCCGATTGTTAAATCATTAAAAAATCGAATGAATGTTTCTGAAATGACCGTTTTCGAGTGAAGTTCTAACCCAGTATGGCCAGCTTACCACTTCTTTCCCCAATGCCAATTTTACACAAGTTTACAGGGTTCAGAGCAGTGACCCCAAGGGAGAGGAGAGGCGAATCTCCGGCCTGACTTGTTTTCATTTGTTGCTGTTTAATTTTCTGCATGCCCTTTAAACAGAAATCCTATAAATACATATATATACATAAATCTATATATAAGAGAAACAAGAGGACAGCTTGTTCGTTTTCTGAATGCCAGTGGGGTTTTTTTTTGCTGCTGTCTTCCTTTATATTTCTGTTTTCTTGTCTCTTTCTCACTATTTTTTTCTGAGCCTTGTAAGTGTCAAAACAAGAGGATAAAGACAAACAGAAAAAAAAAAAAGATCTTCCTCTTGATTTGTTTCAGAATATTGCAAATTAAAAAGAAAACCATAATATGTCTGGTCTGGTCTATGCTCACTAACCTTCTCTTCACGTGTACGTCAAACCTCTCAATAAATTAAACTGTCTAAAAAAAAAAGGAACGATTTGTGTTGCCGGTAGCAACCCACAAGCCCCTCCCGCTCAGATTTCCAAGGCAGATTAGAAATGTGGGAAACTAGCCATAACACATATAGTAACTATAACTCTACATCAAGCTTTCATCTCAATTATAGTTAGGGATGCACCGATACCAAGTACCGTACTCGGTACAGGTACAAGTACAGATACTTTTCCAGCTCCAAGACTAGACTAGAGACAAATTCAAAAGTTTGGAGGCAGCTGTCATTTGTAAGGAGCACACGGAGCTCCTGGGATTTGTACATCTCTGTTATAATGTACGATTTTGTTTTTATAAATATATATAAGTCATGCACCGATACCAGTTTTCCAAGTACAAGTACTGATACTTGTCCAAGACCTCACAGATACAAGTACTGATACTAGTCCAAGTCCTCACAGATACAAGTACTGATAAATTTTTGTTTATTGTCATGTGACAGTTTTTCTAAACCAATACAGACTAATGATTTCAGGACAGTGGTGGAGAGCCAGAGCCAGGTCCCAGCTACAACCCTGGTAGTTCTCATGAAAATGCCAAGTATTGGCACTGGTATCTGGACATCCCTAGTTGTAGTGATGGATTTAATTTAATTAGACAGCAAGAACTACAAGAAGTACAGTATTCACACCCATGAAAGATGATCGTTGATTGGCTGCTGTGGGTTACTGTGCCTTTACCTACCACAAACCATATACATACAGGAACTGAAAACCACTCTCAGAGCAAATGTGAAAAGCTTTTGAAACATCAGTGCGCCTAACCCCCTGGTGCCCAACTTGCAGCCCCAAGGTCCTATGAATCCCATTGGTGTGATCCTCAGACCTCAACAGGAACTATTGGGCTGATTGATTTGAAAATGGGATGCAATGACGGTGATCTCTATCATAAACAAGCGCTTTCAGGGCCACACAGGGTCCCTTCATCAGGCTTAGCATTGACATTGACCCTGTGTGGTCCCGAAAGCGCTTGTTTAGGGCATGGTGTGTCAATAAAATAAAACACTTGGTGAAGGACTCCGGCATGCTGGTGACATCATCTTATAATTGCTACCGCATGGGATAAAGAAACTCGGTCTGAAGTGCGACAAGGTATCAATACAGTGACCTCTATCAGTCTCTTGTAACAAGCTCCTGGTCTCTGTCTGTAACCTGCAGCATGTCTCGAATCCCCAACCACACCTGTAGCCTATTCAGTTTCTGACCATCTCCTGTAGTCTTCTGTAGCATTACATATACTGAACATTATGTACAGCCCTTTGGTGATGTCCACAGCTGAGGCCTCCTATAAGCTGGCAGCCACTGATATAGCCAATATTTCTGTCTATGTAAATGTGTACAAAATCTTTCTGCAAAATTTTCCAAGCTCTCAGCATATGGGAAGCCACACATAAAATACATGATGAGATCTGTACTGTTATAATCAATAACATGAACAAGATGAAGAGATATCATTGTGCATTTTGCGTGTAGTGTCACATGCACTTACCTACGCAAAAAATTAGGGATGCACCGATACCGTTTTTTTGGTATCGAGTGCGAATACTGATATTTTTTTTTTCCGGTACTCGCCAATACCGTTACCGGAAGTCCCATTAAGGAAGCCAGGCAGCGTGTAAAGACTCGCCACCCGGCTTCCCGTTTAGCAGGGAAGCATTCTCCACACTCCCTCGTTACCAGGTGACAAGAAACCATGAAGCCGGGTTTCTGGCCAATCAGGAAGCCGGTCGACGTGTAGTGACGTCATTACACGGCGCCCAGATTCCTGATTGGCTGGGAAGCGTGTAATGACTCGCTGCCCGGCTTTCTGGTACCGGAAGCTCAAGCATCGGAGCATTTGACCGAGCACAAGTACTCGCCCAAATACTCTGCATCGGCACCGATACCGGTAATAGTAATGGTATCGGTGCATCCCTACTAAAAATGCACAACTGAGAACAGGGCGGTCTGATATCTTCCTGAATACCTGCAAGCTATATATACCAAACCAATTCCATTTTGTGGATCAATGGCTTTCTGAACATGCATTTCTGCATAAGCCTGTGAACATGCACACCTTCTCAGATTTTTACACGTTTATCACTTCCTGCTGCATCTCTAGGCTAGGAGGTTAAAATATAAATGAAAGCAATGATACTCTACACAGCTGTCCATTGATTGGCAGGGGGGCAACTTTATTTTGGTTGGGGCAAACTCAGACATATGTAACTCACAAGAATCCACTACTGTACAATGTTCATTTTTCCCCTTATTCACCAAGCTACAGGAAGTTATCAGTAACACTGAACTGCTATGTGCAAAATAAAATGGTAAGAATAGAAAATCTGATGCTGCAGACTGTACTTCAGCATGACAAGCCATGCATTTGTGTTGCCTGTTTTGTTAAAGCTGAACACCAGGTAATAGCTGAATACACAGATGAAATTTATATAAAAGAGCTATTTTTCCTTCTGAAATCTGAGGTTTTGTTTGAAGTCTGAAGTTTGAGGTCTATTTGTAAACAATGTGCAGAGCTATTTGCCCTGAGAATTTCTGTGAACATTCTTAGAAAAAAATGTTTTCAAGTCGAATGTAACATTCAGAAAATACTGCTCTATGGCCACTAGATGGCGCAAATGAGCATAACAATTAGTATTTCCCCCGTTCCTCCCTTTTCCTAAGCTGAATGCAGCTGTATAGGGGATTGCAAGAGGCCAATATCAAGTCACATTCAGGTACCTACAGAAGCTGCATTTAAAAAATACAATTAATAATATATAAATAAATACAGAGCTTAATAATTGTGTGTCATTATATATGCCTGGAATGCAGCTTTAATAGGGCATCAAACCAGTAAATAAATATTCTGCTATAAGGAAGGAAATAACCCACCTCCTTTTCAATACCTACCTTCCTTATCCATGCTCCCTGGTGACGAGGGAACATGGAGCCGACTTCCCGGCCAATGAGGAAGCCGGGCAGTGTGTAATGAATATCTGAATAAACATCGACAGCATTTGAGCAAGTACGAGTATCTGGTATCGGTGCATCCCTACTTGATAGTATTCAAGGCTAAATAGTGATACAGGTCAGACAGTAAGACAAAATGTGTCCTGAGTACTTCTCACCAAGAGAAATAAACCTTTCAGGTGTGATAGCATTCAGAAGTGTAGGTATGACAGCTTCCAAAAGGCCTTAGTCTTTTAGGACTTGGGCCTCAGCAGCCAGGTCATTAAA